CGTTACGAGTCAGACTTAGTGCTTTAGCTCGAAAACTTCAGTGGGTTTATAGGAATGAAATGATTGAAGTGGCATTAAAAAAAATTTGCTGTCATTGACTGCAGGAATGTGGGATGATTAGTAGTTATTAGGCATCAGGAAAGGTAGGAATTTCTTGCCTTATTTTTTTATCTTCAGAAGGTGAATGTAAGGAAGTGAGATACTAGAATGCCATTAAAACTTCTCCTACCATCTTTCCTATTTCTAACAAAACTGCTGCCTAGCTTGCTGTCTTAAGAAGAAATTGCAGCATTTTTTATCTCGAGCAGCAAACAGGTAACCTCCTGACCTTTTCAGTAAATCCTCAACTGAACCTCTGAAATTAGGGCGATTTAGCATTTTATGGCACAGAATAAAAATATCTAATTCTGTTTCCAAATAGTGTATCCTGAACACACATTTTATTAAGCTCTTGACTCATTCAGCCATGTGTATTTTGTAAAGTTCCTATGGTTATTGTTTTACAATAGCTGCTTCCAGAAGCATTGTAAGGGTTTCAATTAATCAGCTCTTTGTGTGCTTCAGACTATGCAAATTTATCACATCAGACCATTCAGCAGCTCATGGGAAAGCAGTGTACAAACTGTATTGTCTTCTAGCACCTCCTCTCATTTAGAGTGATGTTTTTAATAAGAAAACTAATCAAGTTTACTTATGCATTATTTATCTGTTAATTTTAATTCTGTTCTTTACCTCTTATGTCAAATGGGATGTAGCAAGTGATATGATAGATCAGTGAATGATTCAGTATTGAACAAAGCTTATGTGATGCAGCACTTTTTTCTTCTTAGTTTTTGTTTTTAGTGCTTAGTTACCCAACTCAGTTTGGAATTTGAGAGTTTTGAAGCAAATGCACATTTTTGTTTAGCCTTACGAATTTTTTGCAAATCTGTTTGTCACTCGTCCATGATAAACGGCGCTGTGTTATAGCTACAACTCCTCTTAATTATGTGACGTAGTCTTACTTCTCCAAAGTATTTCCAAATTCTGGCAGGTCTGGTAAGTCTGAAATAGACGCCTTTCAAGTTAGTTTTAGCTCTTGTGCCACCGTATCATTAGAAGAAGTAAACAAGCACATTTAGTAATGCGCTTCTTTTTATCTTGCTGATGGAAACTGGTATTACTGCTGCTTCTATTCACTTGGTCTCCTTTGCTCTCTAATGTCCCTCCTGCTGGTAGTAATTAGTTTTCTATATTAGGTTGTTTTGACTTATTTGATGATTTTTTTTTTTCATTTGGCATGTGTGTGTATAGAAGGCATCTTATCGTAGCCGGTGGAAAAACTTTCCCATACTGTTGTGTTTTGTCCCAGCCCCCTCCCTGCCTCCCCCCCTTCCCCCTCTGCTCAACTGCTGTTTTACAAGTTTGCGTATGTCAGTGTTTGACAGCAAACTCTAAAAACAGCCACATAAAAGAGAGAAATCGTGGAAACCTGAAATTCTCCTGAGTAGAAAAAGAAACTCTTAAGGGACAAAAGTACTTCTTGGGTGGGGGGATCTTTATGCTCGGTCAGGGCCCTGTGGAGGTGCACGGGTGTGGAGATGCTGTCGGGATGGATGCAGATAGCGTGTGTGAGGATGGGGGCCATCGTGCATAGTCAGAGGGCTGGCGTTTATTGGCTGCCGCACAATAGCATTGAAAAACACTGCCTATGGCTGGGTTATACTTGCATGTGAAACCACTCTAGGCGCCTGATTTAGGTTTATTCTAATTTAAACTGTTATCCTTGCAGTCAACTGCCACGCTTATTAAATCTGTTTTGTTGGGGGGGTTGGTTTGTTTTCAGAGAGATCTTAATTTGTTAGCATTTTCACTAATTTTTCATCTAAACTGACATTATGAAATTGATACAAAAAGGCTTTTTTTCTAGAATTCAATTTGCTTTCCGATTGCAAAGAAAGGAGATGTAGCAAGCTGCTGGATTGCTCAAACATACAGCCCTCTTGTTAGTCCACATACTAAAAAAACATTTTGGTTTCTTCTTTTGTCTGGAAAAATAGTTCCAGCCTTTTCTGGTGGTTAACGTTTGATTCTGGTCCTAGATGAGAACTCCAGCGTGTATAGGTGAGAGCAGATTCAGGCCCACTGCGGTGTAGTGTTTAGTCTGAAATTGTACTGCTAAATTTCAGATGCAGCATATAAAAATTGTGAGGGGATGAGAAATGAATGATCTGAGTTATTTTGCATGTCCTATGTGAATGCTGGGGAGCAATTTTCGTGTGATGTCTAAATTAGTAATAATTAGGAAGTCTTAATAACCTGTAGTAAGAGCCACAGAGCCAAGTTCCCTACTAGTTTGAGTGTGTCCTATTTATGAATATCGTATGGGGAGCAGTTGAGCAGCCCGGTTGGGAAATGCAGTTTATGCTTGGACAGGGCAACACGTGGGATTTGAGGCTGTCTTAAATCCAGCCTCGTCTTTTCTCCTTTACTGTTTTATTGATGAATTGCACGTGATAATTGCACTTAGATGGATTAATTCACTTGATCGCTTTTTCGCAGCTGCTTGGCGGTGCGGCATCGCTAGGCTTGCCTTTTACTGCCCTGCCCCAAGCCCTGGCTCAGCGGCTGGGGACGAGAAAGAGCAGCAAATTCAGGAGCGTCTGACTGCAGAATGAAGTCGAGTTTACATTTTTTAAATGAATTACAGTTACTTTTCCTTTAGAAGTAGCATTGTATACAAGAAAGGTGTCTGCCAGCTTTTTAGACAGTTTTATATGAGAAAGAATGAACTTTTGTAAAACACGGGAGGCTTTTCTCTGTCCTGTTCTCTAAACACACACGGGCATGCTATAGATCTGTTATAAACTCAGTGACTTCTTAAAATACAGAAGCTTAGAACTGAGGTTTTATAACTTTCTCTTTTTTTTTTCTTTTTCATTTTTTTTTCCCCTTCGGTAAAATAGAAACTTTATAAATGGCCTAGTGAGCTTCACATTGCTGGATCCTGTCTAAATATTTTGTTTTTAACTTCTAAGCTCATTATGCTGTCTTTGTGTTAACTTGTATTAAAATCTGTCAGCTATGACTGGTCTCATAACCACAGTCAGCGGACCAGAATAAGTTAATTATTTACTTGTGTCACTAGTGCTCTTCATCTAATGAAATGCACAGCTGTGTTAGATCTGCAGTTGGGTGTGTAGGTCCCATTGTTATACAAGTCAGCGGAGGGTAGAAGCCGCTATGATGGAGAGCCCTCAGTTCTTTCTGCTGTTCTGCCTTTCTGTGTCGATTTCATGGATCTTTTATCATTCACTTTCACACAAAACAAACAACACAGTGGCTGTCTGCTATGGGAACCGGCTTGGCAAATAAAAGGTTTTCAGAGCCTAAAGTAATTTTAAGTTAGCTAAGATTTAATTTTTGGCTTACAGGTGCCATGAAGTCCAGATGCAACCTAATGCTTTCTTATAAGTAAATGCAAATAAGGCAAAATGTGCGTGCCATAAATACACGTCATATAGTTTTTATGTAGACAGTTTTAGGATAAAAATGCTGTGCGCACGAGAGATGGTGGGTTGGGTTTTTTTTTTTTTCATTTTCAGCAAATGATTGCTGCTTGGCAGGGAGGGGTGGAAGGCTGTTATTGAATTATCATAGTAGAACAATGAAAATTAGTTTTAATAGGTTTAAAAACTCAATGCAACACCACCCCCCCATCTCAGACGTTCCAATCCTTTTTTTTTCCCTGCTCCCTTCCCCCATACTTACCATTCTCATTCTATTAACGACTGTCCCATACACCTATCCCTGTCTTGCTTGGACAGTGGAAGAGGAGCTCCCTCCTGAGCAGACGCCAATACCCCTCTGTGAACTGGCTGGTCGGGGGATGCCTTTTTAGGGATGTAACCAGCACCCTCGGTCTTCCAGGAGCCCCCTCCACTCCAGGACTGTTCCCAAGGCGTTCTCTGGCAGTTGCAGCAGGCTGATCTCAAATAGCTCGCAGGCTTTTTCAGCTCTAAGGGCTTCTGGAAGAAATTGTCCAACTGAAACAGTAGCTTTGGTTCAAAGGAGTATGGGCTTAAGCAGCTGCATTTTAGCACCTGAATTTGAATGTCAGATCTCTTGGTCACTTCCAGCTGCACTATTTTGATTTGCAAAATTCACAGCAGAATCAAAGTTGTAAGGGTTGGAAGGAAAATTTTGTGCTGTGTGATAGACTGTATTAAATGAGTTTCCATGTTTCTGTTTAATTATTCCTAAATAATTTTAGACTTTGGGGGGGGGGGTTTGGATTTACTTCCACTACTGCTGGAGACTGAAAAAAGCTTCCAGAACTTTTAAAGGTACAGTTTGTGTTCGTGGAACAACAGAATATAAGCGGTCTGGGGAGTGGATTGTACTTGGTAATTCACTGGAAGTGGTCTTTGCTCAGCAAATGAATGCTACCTGGGAAAAAAATGCTTTCTTCTTTCTATTTATTTATTTTCCCCTACTGATCTTCTCTCGGCCCTTGAAAAGTCCTGACTTGATTTGGTTTTATTCAGAGTATTTAGAAAAGGTACATAAACAAATTTCTGATCAATAACAATTTTGTATGTCCAAAGAGATGCTGTAAGAGACCTGATTTCTTCAATTCTGTGCACTTCTATGCCTGATTCTTCACTTCTATGCAATTATAGTGTCAGCTTTAAAAACTAGGTCTGCCGTGAGATGTTCCAGGCTGACTGGTCAGAAGTTTCTGGTTGCCTCTGAAAACTGTATCTAAAGCTTTCTTCCCTAATTTGCCAACTCACAAGTCGCTGGGAGTATTATGTAAGGGTATGCTAATTTTGGCAGTCCTGTCACAAGGGCTATCTTCGAGCCTGCAGGTTGTGAGCACTGGTCATGGTAATGAATCTGGGTAAAAAGTGATCCGTGAGCAAGAGAGGAGGAGGGAAACACGAAAGAAAATCTGGTGATGAGCGTCAGCCCTGCTGGTGGTTTGCTGTTTGTGAATTGAAATGTTTTCCCTTCTGCAGGGGTGTGTGGACTGATTGTTCCTCAGGAAGACATGCCGTTTTGCGATACAGGAATCTGTCCAGATATCATAATGAACCCTCATGGCTTCCCATCACGTATGACGGTTAGTGGTTATCTTACAATTAAAGAGACAGTGTCCCCTGATAGGGAAAGTGAAGTAGATTAGCCAGAGGAAACAAAAAAAAGTTGGAAACACAGTTTCACTGAGAATGTTCCCCAGTCGTCATGCCACGCGCTTGCTCTTCTGGAAGTATTCAGGCTTTCTGTTTTGCACGTTTTGAAACCTCCGACTGTAGAAGGAGTAGGGGTGCGGGCTGTTTGTGCACCATTCTCCTTTTGTTCCGTATCAAGCTGATAGTAAAGCAACTGAATACCTCACTTGTCCCCTTTCTGTCTGAAAATTCCTTGCTCTCCCTCTTCCTTCCCTATTGCCTGTGCCCACTAAGCGGGCTGGGGCAGACTGTGAGGGGAAGGGTGGAGAGGAGTTTCACGAAGAGTTGCAGACCTATATAACTCCTCACATTACACACGCCTCCCTGGAACTGATGCAAATCTTGCACCTGTGCTGCCGGGTCCCACTAGATGCCCTGCAGCCCGGCCTTTATACTGGACCTCCGCTGATTACTTTGTACAGCCTCTGATCTTTTTGTTAGCTTCTTCCCTTCTGTTCCCCCTGCTGCACTGTAGCACGTCAATCTCTGAGGCTGTCTTCTGGAGCGGAAGGCCAGACTGGATCCTGCTCGTTTTCCAGACAACTGGAAAAAATGGAGCTGCCTGACTCTGGACCTTAAAGGTGTTCCCAGACCTGCGATGAACAGTGTGGTCTGCCTGCCCGGGGACTACTCCCTGTTCTTGGGCAGCTTCCACTCCTCCCATTGTGTGTGATAACCCAGGCTGCCATCTCGGACAGTTGCCTGGCAAACTTACTCTGTACCTGAGCTAGTGAGCGGGCTGTTAACTCTGCTTTCCCTTGCACAGGTAGGAAAATTAATTGAACTTCTGGCTGGAAAGGCTGGGGTGCTTGATGGCAGATTTCACTACGGAACAGCTTTTGGAGGCAGTAAAGTTAAGGACGTGTGTGAAGATCTTATTCGCCATGGTTATAACTACCTAGGGAAGGACTACGTCACATCTGGTATCACTGGGTAAGCGTCTGCTGTGTGGATTTAGACATTTCAGAGGAGTGGGGAAATCCTGTGAGACATGTCTGAAGAATATTCTCGTGCCTCAGAACTTAGGAACTTTCTCTTATTTGCAAACGGCACTGAGGTGGAGGGAAGGGGCTGAAGAACGGTGCACTTCCTTTTTTTTTTTTTTTTTCTTTTTTTCCCCTTTTTTTTCTCATAGAAGTATTATGTAGTTCCACATTTAAGAATTAGTAGTATTTGTGTGGCTGCAACGTGAGTGGCCCTTGTAGTACATATGAAAATCTCCCAACATCTATTGCATGACAAAAAAAGTAAAATCAAGGTTTTCTTTCTGAGAGATTGTAAGAAATTTCAGGTTTCTGTTGTCAGCAACTCTTTCATATGCTTGGAATCAGATAAACATTTTCATATTGACTTAAATAATACTAAAATATAGATCTGGCAGGTGTCTGTCCCTTGGGAATATTTTGTGTGTGCTCTTTTTCTTTTTCTCTTTTTTTCCTTCTTTTGACTACACAATGATTCAGTCTGGCATAATACTCTAATCTGCAAACTTCCTGCTGTGTTGATCAGACTGGCTTCTGAGACACAGAGTTCAAAGAACGTAGGATAGTTTAGGAACAGGAAAAGGCCATATGGCTCCACATGCCAGCCCTTCCAAAACGTATCTTAATCCCACCTTCCTGCTATTTTTATTATCTTCCCAGTCCCCTTCTTCTCAGGCAACAAGTTTAGGTCTCTCTTGTAAGGTATTTTTTAATGCTTTTTATTTTAATTGCTTTTCCTGCCAACTTGTTCCATATGTTGTTTCTCTTTTTGTTTCAGAGAAATTATTTTGTTTTCCTTACCCACTCTATATTCCATAACCTGTATATCAGGTATCCTGGTGTTTGAAACACTTCCTATTGATATATCATGGTAATTTTTAACAAATCTGATTAATCTTGTTTCCTTGGGAGAATAAAATCATCTAGCTCTAAAAATCCCCTGTTCCCAAACTTCAGCTGTGTAGTACCCTATTTAGAGACTTTGCTTTAGGATACTGCTATTCTTCCAAGAAAATTTCACATGCTTAGTATTTGTTATGAAATTTGAAGGCAGATTTCACAACAGTGTGGAAGTTTGCAAGTTCCAAATGTCTAGTTAAGTTTTATGATTTTCTTCGCTAGGCAGCTTTTGGAATAACACTGCATCATGTCAGTAATGACTCTGGATGGGAGGTGCAATACTGTTGTCTCCTGCCTGTTTTTACATTGCACATACATTTTTTTAAATCAGTAGCAGTGCTGAGTTTGTGTCATGGTTGAACCACAGCTAAGCACCACACAGCCACTCGCTCACTCTCCTCCCCCAGTAGGGAAGAGAATTGGAAGGGTAAAACCTGTGCATTCAGATAAGAGCAGTTTAATAGTTGAAATAATAACAACAACAATAATAATTAACTATAGTGATTTAGAGGAAAATAACAGAGTAATGAAACCCCAGAAAGACAAGTCATGCAAATGAAAACAATTTCTCACACCCAACTGACCAATGCCCAGCCAGGCCCCACCAGCCCTGGCCAACCTCCTCCCTAGTTTTATTGCTGAGCATGATGTCACATGGAATATTCCTTTGGTCAGTTGGGGTCAGCTGTCCCAGCTGTGTCCTCTCCCAACTTTCTGTGCACTTGTTCCTCACTAGGGTGGATACTGCAACGTGTGGTGCTGGAAATGTACAGCTCTTGTGTTCAGAAGGGTTCATAGAATCACAGGGTGGTCTGGGTTGGAAGGGACCTTACAGACCATCCAGTTCCAACCCCCCTGCCATGGGCAGGGACACCTTCCACTAGACCAGGTTGCTCAAAGCCTCATCCAGCCTGGCCTTGGACACTTCCAGAGATGGGGCATCCACAGCTTCTCTGGGCAACCTGTTCCAGTGCCTCACCACCCTCTCCAGGAAGAACTTCTTCCTGATATCTAATCTAAACCTCGCCACTTTCAGTTTAAACCCCTTACCCCTTGCCCTGTCACTACAGACCCTTGTAAAAAGTCCCCTCCCCTACCTTTCTTGTTGGCCCCTTCAGGTACTGGAAGGTGCTATAAGGGTTTCCTGTGGGCTTTTCAGACTGATTGTCCTAAAAGCCCAACCACATTTTTTTCTAGGACTCATGATTCCCAGATTGTTTCAAATTCTTCCTGTACACAACACTCTTGTCTCTCTTAAGGTAAATATGTGCTAACTGTGAATATTGGTTTTTTGTTTTCTTTTTTTATTCCTTCAGGGAGCCTTTGGAAGCATATATCTATTTTGGCCCTGTGTATTACCAGAAACTGAAGCACATGGTGTTGGATAAAATGCATGCAAGAGCTCGAGGACCCAGAGCAGTGCTCACCAGGTATTGTTGCAGGCTAAGCACAAAATTTTTAGTGTACATTGAGGTGTGCGCAGCTGGCTGACTGGGTATAAAGCAAAGTTTGTTCACCTTTTGATACTTGACACAAAATGCTATTACCTGTTAATACACCACTACAGACTAAAAACCTTCACAGTAGGCTGTCGTGGGATGTTGTTCTGAATGTCTGGGTATGCTCTGTGTGGTGCAACACTGAGTTTGCTTCTCAGAATTCTGGTAGCAGTTGGTAACATAAACTCTGACCCTTTCCTGTCAGATTGCTCATATCGTAGGTGTTTTAGGAAGAATTTTTTTTCTTTAACATTTGTACTTTCACAAAATCAGGTACGAGTAGAAGAAAGAAATTTCTTAGTATTTCAGCATCCTTTGGTATTCAACAGGTTAATATTGATGTGGCCCATCTCTTCACCTGTCAAGGCAAAGCAAATGTGTTGGCCCTGGTGTAGTGCAGACAAGCATTAGAATATTGTGCATCGTCGGTATACTGCACACTGCCTTGCAGACTCTTCCATTCAACTCTAAAACCAAACTTAGGGTTGCATGTGCTGTTATCATTCAGTACCGTGCAGGAGAATAGCATTTCCACACTAAGAAATTGCAAAATTTACAGAGACCCACAATAAATCTCCATTTTATTTGCCCAGTTAAAGGTATGTCCTCAGTTCCTTTGGAGACATCATCATTGCACTAAGCCTGAACTTGGTTTTCTCTCCAACAAAAAGGTTCATTACCATGTTGATGTCTTCTGGTGTCAAATGTTGAAGTCAGGCAAATGTACTCTGACTAATGTACATATAAGCCTCTGGAGGTGGGCTTATATGGCTGTTTGGAGAATTAGGTGGATGTTTGGAGAATTTGGAGCATCCTGTTTTCACTGATGTTACCTACTTTGTTCCTTAAAGCCAAGCTCTGTGGCTACTTGCACTCATGTTTCAAATTGCCAATACTCCTGGCTCACAAGAAATAGTTCAGGGTCACAGGCTTCGCTTTGAGAAGGCTTCTAGTGGGTCATTTAGTTCACCTCTCTCCATCACAGTAGGATTATTTGCTAGATCTTCCCAGGAAGTTAATTACCAGCTTGTCTTGAATATTCCCACAGTGCTTATTCTAAATGTCCTTTTGCCGGTCTTTCTGGACTGTCACGTACACCATTTGTACCTCACCTGCAGCATGGTGGTACTCCTCTTTTTGACCTCTTTTACTGTTTCTGAGATGCCAGCACAAAGTCACGTCTATCTCTGCTCACTCTTCCCTGTAACAAGCATGATTCATATTCTTTAGTTCTTAATTTATTTTTATGCCTCTTCTAATGCATGCTGACACGTGTGCTGACCCGCTTCTCTTGTTGCCTAACGGCACAACAAGTTAGCAGGTCTGTCCTCTTAACAGGTGCCCTTCCACCTGGGGATGTGCCGTTCGAGAACGGAGGGACAGGTCTCTGCTGTACCTCGTACAGGAGTATCTTTCTCTTTCGCCTTTCCTATGTTTCCTATGTGTTTTGGCTTTCCAACCTCATGCTGTCTCTAAGACAAACCTGAGTTGTCTCACACTTCCCATGGAAGTAAATACCAGTGGTTTAACTGGGAGAGAAACTGTGAAAAGCTTCTGTAATTCTGGACTGGACTTTTCCACCAACCACATTAAGAAGGGCAAGTGTAGCACAGCCGTTATTTCCTAGCACAGCTGCTGGCGTATGCGAACATAAACGGCATTCCCAAATGTTGGGCTGTCTGCCCCGTTTTCTGTTCTTCAGTGTGTTAGTCGTGGTGCTGGTGCTTCACATGGAAATGAAAACTCGCTCTGTTGGCTAATAGTGGGTGCAGTTGGTTTACTGCAGCTCCTGGCTTACCCAGATCCCTTGATCTGCTTGTGTGTTGTCTCCCCAGCTTCTCAGCTGTTTAGAGAGAGTGAATTTAAATGAAACCCAAGTCCCAAGTCAAGGTAATGCTTACACGTAAAGATGAAGGTGGGCTGATTTCCCCCACCCCTTACTTCCTTTGCATTCTTTGTTCCAGTCAGTAGCGTCACACTCTGTAGCTAGGGCTCTTGCTTTGACTCTCAGGAAAGCTAGTGGATGTTCCATCTATGCTGCCTCTTGACTAGTCTTTTAGGAATTTTCTTTTTTCTTCTCAACTAATTAAACTTGTTATTGCCATCGCCTCTGCTTTGCCAGCTTTCATACTCACTATTGTTTTATCATCCATTGCACTTCCTGGAGAGCAGATTGCCTCTAACATTGATTTTTGCTTTTAAAAGTAATCCTGTAACAGCTTCCACCATGGAATTTGGCTGTGATTGTCTTGAAATGCATTTTATGATATATCAAATACACCTTAACTGACAGAGCAAAGCTGTATTTCCATATGGAATAAGACATGAGTTCCTTGAATGTCACTAATTCTAGATACTGTTCTGATGAAAACAAGACTTTGTAGAATTGCAAAGCAGCGCTCTTTGTCAACACAGTCAAAACCCACCAGGATTTACCCTCTGAATTGGTATTTGTTAAATGAAATGCAATACTTAATTTATTTTGCCCTGAGTAGTTGACAATTAATTTAAAACATAGTTCTATATATGGTGTTGCCTAGATACCTAGTCCTGCTAAATCTTTTTAATAGATAAACTGCTTTTAGTTTTCCTTACAAGAGATCAATATAAGCTTTCTGCATGCATAGTTGTTTTGATGGACATTGTCAGGGCTGCCACCTGCATGTCTTTTAAACTTATCAGATGTGCCAGTTCCTATTATACTGCAGGGGAGTAATGTGATGACACTGGCGGTTGCTCCTCTCGACGCTCAGGGGCTGTGGGAGCACAGTACACCCTCTTCCTTCAAGCAGTGTTTTTCTAGGTAATACTCCACTTCCAGATCAGTGTTTTAGCCAATGATCCATTTCCAGTTAGCCACTGGTTTTCCATAGCAGGCACAAGGGAGATCTGCAGAGACCTACAGGGCCTGCTCTTACCCCCTGCTCTTGGCGGTAGGCTTATTTGCCCCCCAACTGGCCGTGAAACAAGGAGTAGGGCCATAAAGCTGAACCCACTGTCCTTCCAGAAAATGCAGAATTAATGCCAATAAATTCTTAATGTGCTTAAAAACACAGAAGTTAATTGGTTTATGCTTTTTTCTAAATGCAGCAGTTAAATATTATGAAGACCACTTGGCCTTGTTTTTTTTTATTTAAAGAATCACTGCATTTTATTTAGCTTTTAAGAATTTTAAGAACTTTTTTTTGGATATATGAAAAATACCTCTTTTTAATGATATTCCCAATCTTATTTTCAAGAGTCGCCATTGTTTTCAGAATGTTGTATTTAGAATAAAGAATGGAAGTAGTTGCCCAGGGCAACAGCTGCAGGGTATGTGTGTAGAGCGGGAAAGGGGAAGCACAAATGCTTTGTAAATACTGTTTTAACATTTTAAACAACCTTTGGTATGAGGAATTTTCAAACTCATGTGAGTCAGAAGAAAAATCTGGTAGACACAGAGAGCATAAAATAGATTGGGCCTTTGAAAAAAGTCTCAATGTTGAAATTTTTGGTACTTTAGAAAACTACTTTTGAGGGAAGGAGGATTTTGTTTGTTTTGTTTTTTAATGAGGTCATTTTGACAGTGGGAGTGAAACACTCAAGACTCAAGTTGGGGTTTGGGGGGTTTTTTGTGATTTTTTTAAAATTTTTTTTTTAAATGGGATTTCAGCTGCTCATACAGGGCTGGAGTTGAGAAGCCATAGTTTTTCAAGAGATTTTATCCTCCCTTGATTGGATTGAGATTATATTTGGGCTCACATTTATAAAGCTATTTTGTCATTCTATCCTGGTGAAACTTTTGAAAGTAGGCTTGTGCATTAACTAATACTACAGAAATCAGTTGGTAAAAGGAACTCGGGCACTTCCAGCATCACAGCAAATGCCTGTGTCCTTGGAGGCTCCGACTACTTCTAAAATCTGCCTCTTGGGATTTCAGGAGAGGAACCACATTCACTGCAGGGTTAGTCCTTTAAAACAGCGTCAGCACAGTGATGGTGCCATCATCTGGGGAGGGAGCCCTAGGGAGTGTAATCAGGATGTAAACAACTTCTATCCATTCTCCCAACACTGGGGAAAAACAGAAGGTTGTGTGAGTGAAAAGGACAATTTGAATTACAAGCAGATTAGTTTTAAGGTTCCAGTGTGGTCAGAGTAAGAGAAACTACTTCCCCCTAAAAACAAATATGATTTGCATCTTCAGAAGATATTTTGGTCAGTAGTTAGGTATATTTTTTTACACTTGTTACAAAAGATTATTAAATGGAGAAGGCTTTTATAATCCTTTTCTCCGAGTTGCAATAAGTTGGCAAAACCATGTAGTATGCTTATCAAATCTGATTGTTTTTAATAATATAAATAAAATTTACTCCAAAAGTTACGTGACAGATCTGTCATTGGATACTGTAGGTGGATTACACTGCTGCAGGTATCAGAAACAGTACGTTCACGTTAGGTTTCACTGAGCAGTGAAGCCTCTTACGACTACCAACAATTTTTTTTTAATTCTTTCTCTTTCCTGTCATGTTTCAGGGGATGTACTAAGCTGGAAATATTTAATAAAATTCCCAATATATTAGGACTTCAAGCATTTAAGATTGGTTATGCTTCTGTCATGGTTTAACTCCGGCTAGCAAAATACCACAAAGCAGCTCTCACAAATCCAGTGGAGGGGAAGAATCGGAGGAAAAAGAAATAAAGAAACCCATAAAATTGAGATAAGAACTGTTTACTAATTAAATCTAAAGTAATATACACAAATACTACTAATAATAAG